TTAATCTCTTGCTAAGCCATAATGTAGGTGTTAAGAAGGGAGGGTTCAGGGCCAGCCCTTGTAGCATGACACATACACACTGCGGGGAAGCCAGATCCCACATGGCCAATCAGGGCCCAGCGGCTGGAAAAACACACCCAGTGTGTGCCCAGAGCGCGCCCGTGGGACAGAAGAGTGGATAAAGGGGACTGCAGCGTGACTAGGCCCTGTTGGGGTACTTTCTCTCTCTCCCTTACTCCCTCATGTGTACTCCCTCTGGCATTGGGAAAAAAAAACGTTTTTAAAGAAAGTAATCCAGGTTGCAATTTGAAACCTTTCTAATATTTACCTAGAACCCATTTCCTCATCTCCTTTAGGCTCGGACTTTATGCAGGATAATCTGTTACTCAGGACCTGAGTTCTCTTGATTCAGACTGAGGCTTCTCCTCTCCCCCAAGGGTCTGTGCATGCTTTGGTGCTCTGCATTTTCACCTGGTGTCAAAAGCCCTCCCGAACCCCTTGTCTTCCGTATGTCATCAGCTTTCTCACCTCTTCATCTGTAGCTGGTCCTGACTAATGTGAGGAAAGGGTCCATTTTCCTTTCCGCTGATGCTCTTCTAGACTAGAACTGACAGACAGGACCGCTAGCTGGGCAGGGAGCCTCTGTACGAGCACGTGGTTAATTAGGCAATGGCTGTTTCCATGTCTTTCTCAGCAACCTCACTCTGCCTAGCTGAGCCTTGTGTCAGCTGCAATTTCTCACTAGCTCGGGACGTTTTCATCTTTATTCAGATCTGGTGCTGGAAGTTTTACAGTGCTCCAGTGGATTCTGAAAGTGCTCTTTAAAGTGGCATGCTGGGGACCAGCAGGTCGCATAATGGTTACATCGCTGGACTCCCACGTAGCTGACTGTGGTTGGAGTCCTAGACACGGTGGCTTAAAACTCACACAGGGCATGTGTGCATGTGTGCATGTGTGCCCAAGATCCAGAGAGGAGAATGGAGGAGAAGGGATCACAGCATGGCCACCAGCCCTGGGGTGTAATTTCTTGCTTTCTGTTTCCCTGTTTCTCCGGTGAGCGCACGTGCCCTGTATTTCTCTTAAAAAAAAAAAAAATAGCATGCAGATCGTCTGAAGCAAAATCACTGAATACATTTGTATGCTGGATTTGAAAGCAGGAGAATGGTTTAATGCAATTAGTAATGCAGCCAAGTCAATCCCTATGCAGGAGCCCAGCCCCGGGATGAGACCTTCACAACTTGGAGCCGTGCATCTTGGTGCAGGAGACGTGGAAATGTCTGGAGATGTTTTTGTCATACCTTGGGGGGAGTGCAGAGCAGGGCCACCACCACAAAGATTTATCCAGTCCAAATTGTTGAGAGGGCCAGTGTCGAAATGGTTGCCTAGAGGAATTCACTCATCTCCTGGGCCTCCCGCGGGATTGCTGGCTTGCCTTTCTGGATGCCAGCTCCGGCTTCCTCTGTGCTCACCTGGGAGGGGACCTGGGTACTTCCAACCAGATACCTCTGGCCCCGGAAGGGAAGCTGAGTCCTGCTCACGCACGTGCCACATGTGTTGAGTGAGGGGGGCCCACCACCCGTCTGGGTATCTGCTCATTCAGTTTTCTACCTTCTGCTTTCTCGACACCTGGGATTCAGACTTCTAGGATGCTTCTTAAGGGAGCAGAAACCCTAGGTCCTCGCCCCAGCCCCTTCCTCCCAGAATACCAGCAACGGCTGAGCTGAGAGGAGGTGTGACAGAAAGTGGCCATCAGGAAAGAACCAAAGAAAAGGAGGCCTCTGTGCCTAGTCCCCTCTGGGAGGGAGAGAGGAGCATCTGAAGGTCAGTCCCCACCCACCCCACAGGCTCAGACCTAGCCAGGCCAGCAGGCACTGCCAGCCCTGCCCTCCAATGTAGGGTGACATTTCCTACTGCAGCTTGCAAGGTGGTGGAAAAGTACTCTGGGGAAAAATAAAAAAGATCCTACACTCCAAATTCTACTTTTTCATGCTTTATTACCAAAAAGAGAGAGACACTGCAGGCATGCCCAGACATGGTATTCAGCATGGTCACCATTTTCAGATCTTTAGCACTTTGCATTCTGATTGCTTTGGCTAATGGAGACATGAGACTCTCCCTCTCATGTCAGTCCCAGAGCCTTCAGGGCCATGGAGAGCAGGGAGCACGAGATCCTTAGGGTCCTCCCAGGTCGAATTTGGGTTGGTGGCTGCCCATGACCTCACTCCTTGTGTGCAAGCTGACACGGAGCTCGACTTCATGGCTGGACTGATTCATCCATTTGGCTGTTGTCACCTGCCCCTGGTCCAGTCAGCACAGAAGAGAGGTCCAGAGCAACTTCTGGCCCTATTCTCTCTGGAGGGGTGGCCCAGTGGAGCCATGATAAGACAGGGCTTTGGGAAAAGGAGGACTCACAGAAATTGTTTTTTTTTAAAGAATTATTTATTTAATTTTATTTATCCATTTTATTTTCATTTGATGAGAGAGAGAGAGAGAGAGAGAGAGAAAGTGAGTAAGCAAACCACCAGGTCCAGGACTTGAACCATAGTTGGCCATGTGGGAGTGTCCAGCGCCTTAACCACCATGCCACCTGCTGGTCCCGGAAATTGTATATTTTTAAATTAGAGAAACAGAAGGACTGTGACTCCCACTATGACAAACAGGCCTGAGATACCCAAGTCTGGAGGGGACTGGGGTTGAGCTTGGGAGCTAGGCCCTTTGGAGTACTCCCTTGCGTAAGACTGAGGACTTGGTGAGGGATCATTACCTCCCACCATTACCTTCACCATCTTCAAGGTCAGTGACCACCCCAAGGCATAGGTCACTTCTCAGGGCTCCTCCCAAGCAACAGAGGAGGTCTCTCTGACTCCTTTGTGTTCAAGTCTGTGTCTGCAGTGGGGTCTAGAGGACTGTACTCCAACATGCGAGCCACTGACCACGCGGAACCCTAGTATTGATAGAGCCTGGGCCTTTCCGAAGTGACAAGTGAAACCTGACCCTCTTGCCTCTCCCATTATCAGAAACCATCTCTGACTTGTCAGCAGGGACCACCCACCCTCATCACAGAGCTCCCTCTTAGCGCTTTCTCACCCTCCTCTTCCTGACACTTGGCCAGGGCCATTCCACAACTGCAGCCTGGGGGGCAGCCAGTCCCCACGTGCCCTCTGGCAAGATGATGGTGGGGGTGGGGAGAGGCTCCCAGACCACTGAGATGACCTCCCCAGGGGAAGGAAGTGGCAGCCCTGCCCTTCAGACAGTTTAGCCTGATAGGCCAAGAGTATGGCAATGTTTATACTGCCTGCTCGATCCCATTCCTGGGAAAGGACCGACAGAACAGTATGAAATATGGAAATAGACGCATTCCCAAAGCGGATACAGACAGCATTACTTAAAACAGTGAAAACTTGGAAAGAACCTAAATTTTTTTAAGTAAGGAACTAGCTAAGTAAACAGCTACAATCCATTTAACAATTATTTTGCATGTACCTTAACAAAATTTTTTTTAAAGAGGTTTTTGCTATAGGGCACGTGTGCTCGCCAGACAGAGAGATAGAAAGCGAGAAATCACCCCCCAGGGGGGATGGCCATGCCACAATCCTTTCTCCTCCATTCTCCTCTCGGGATCTTGGGCACGCACGCACATGTGCCTGGCGTGAATTTAAGCCACTGGGTCCCGGACTTGAACCACGGTCGACTCCATGGGAGTCCAGTGACATAGCCATTACGCTAACTGCTGGTCCCCTTAACAAATATGTTTTAAGAAGTCACCAGAACCTGGTAGCTGCAGCCTGGCAGTGCATTTCGCAGCATAGACTGCAGGGCTGGAAGCCACACAGCTGACTGGGTTCAGATCCCTGGTCGGCCTGAAAGCATACCAGAGGCACATATGTGGGTGCCCAAGAGTCTGACGAACTGGAGGGCTGAAGAAAGGGGATCACAGGGTGACGAGCCCCTGTGGGGTGCTCCTCATCTTCTCTTCCATGCACGAGTATGGACACAAGCACTCTCTATCATGAGTAAAAAAAAATACACTTGGGGAACCAGCAGTTAGCATAATGGCTGTGTCGCTGGACTTCCACGTAGTCGACCGTGGTTCGCGTCCCGGACCCGGTGGCTTAAAACTCACGCTGGGCGTGTGTGCGTGCGTGCCCAAGATCCCGAGAGGAGAATGGAGGAGAAGGGATTGCGGTGTGGCCATCCCCGGAGGTGGATGTGATTTCTCGCTTTCTGTCTCTCTGTCTCTCTCTGTCTGTCTGGCGAGCGCACGTGCCTTATAGCAAAAAAAATACTCCAATAAAAAGAAAAAGAAAAAAGAAATACACGTGGTGTCAGCCAGCCATGCCATGGCTAGGGCAGTTAGATCCACTTAGCCAACTTTGCAGTTCGAGTCTCGACTCGGCCACTGGAAAAACACACCAGGTACATGTGTGTGCCAGAATCCCAAGAGGAGAATAGAAAAGAAGGGATTGCGGTGTGGCCATCGCCCCTTCATCTCTCTCTGGTGAGCGCATATGCCCTATAGCAAAAACTAAAATAAATAAATAAATAAATAAGCTTAAAGTTCTTCTTTATTGGAAAGTGCTTATAAGATCATGTTATATGAAAAGGATCCAGTATTAAATGTCGTATATTATGTAATTATAACTTTAAAAAAAAACAAGACCTACTTGTGTTAATAGTAGAAAACAATGGGAAGAGAAGAATGTCAGCAGGGTTTGGAAACTTCCACAAGAGACCTAGAGATCATGTTTGTCTCCTAATTTCTACTTTCTGTAATTTTCTACTAAAAAAAAAAAACAAGGTTTAAAATGTCAAGTGAGGTGCCAGTACTTCGTGTGCTTGTCACGTGGCTCTAGAGGGCCCGCAGGACTCTCAGAAGCCCACAGGTTCTTTCCCTTTGCTGGCCCCTCCTCTTTGCTGGACCTGTCCCAGCCCCTGATGTGGGTGGGAAGGGGACCCTGTTCTTGGCACTGCTCACCACCATGTTTTCCTTTGTTTTGCAGATTTCGTGGAAAACAGATATTCTGTAAGTACACATTTTGATGCATGCATTAATTAGAAAAGTACCCTACCGTAACAGTGAGATAGTACCAGGTCTCCCAGGGG